GTTCTTAGCTACAAGGGAACTTTCTACACATATTGTTAGTTTAAATAAAATTGTTAGTAAGTATAAACTAGAAGATTTGGAAGATTTAAAACAATGTAATAAAGAAATACATAGATACATTCTAAATAATCCAGATGTTAATAATATAGATACAAAAGATCTTAATGCTAGTATTTACATTAAAGGTTATGTATTTTGTAAAGATAAAGGAAAACAACAATTAATTAAAAAGAGAACAAGGATTACTACTACACAATATAATAATGTACAAAATTATTTTAAAGATCTGGAAAACAAAATAAAAGATAAACAAGAAGACGTAGTCGGAACGAAGTTCCAAACGAATACGAATAACGAAACATATAATATGCAAGAACAGATAGAAGATTTGGAACAAGAATTATTTAGTATTAAAGACTATATTAAAAATAATATACAACCCATATTACAAGATTATGTTAAACGTTTTAATTTATAATAATATTTTACGCGAAGCTGAGAGACCTTTGGTCTCGTAATCTTAAATACAAAAATAGGTTTAACTAAGAATATAATATCGATTTCGATAAAGTAGCGAAGATGTAGTTCGCAAATAGTAGTTTAAGCTCCCTATTGAAAAAATAATTGGAACTCTTAAATCCCGAATTTTGTGAAAATTCAGATTCGCGTCCCTCGCGATTTTAATTAAAATTATTAGAAAATGGAGGGTGCAGTGAATCCGCATAATTTATATACTACTACGCGAACGTGTTAATGTTAACAAATTCAAAAAAAAAACTTTCAATGAATTTGTGAATTATTAGAATTGTTATTAATTAATTAAAACAATTCAAATTTAATTAATTAAAAATTGACTCTGATTTTTCTCTTTACGAGTTGTTAATCAAATAAAACAAAACATTACTATGGTGGATGAATAAAAAAATGAAAATGTCAAGCTCAAAAACACAATGAAAAAGTTACCCATGTATTGATTTGATTGATCATACAATTGACAATTTCTTGTGAATAATCGATACATGATAATAAAAACAATACTGAAGAAATGAATTATAATAACAAGTTAAAAATATATCAAAAATGTACAAAGACTGTTATTTTCCTTGACCAAAATAATATTTGACAATGTTGATTTTTAAAGGAAGTCCATCTATTATAATGCAAATAACTGTTTTTTTCAAAAAAAAACAATCGTAGTTTTAAAAACATCACTGATTTAATTCATACAATGAAATGTTGGCGAGTATAAAATTAAAAATATAGAGTCAATCAATGGACTTCGTCTTTTTGACAAAAAACAATTGATATTTGTTTAAAAAAACGGGAATTAGCTAAAAATGAAAAAAACTAAGAAAATATTGAAACAACGATTTTGTTTTTTTAGATAGTTCCCAAAATATTACATTTATAATAGTTTAAAAATCTACAGAAAACTTTCCAGCCAGACAACGTTTAGCATATGATTTTAATAAATTTATAACATTGTGTATTATCATAGCGTTATTGTTTTTTTATAATTTGAATGCAAAAATGTAAAAAATATTCATTAAAAATATGGTTAAACACACAATTAATTGTGGTTATATAGATCAATTTTATTATAAACTGATATTAAAATTCAATCAGATTAAGTAATGGTAATCTGTATTGAAATATTTTTCTTATGCGTTGTTTATTCGTTTTCGAAAAAGATAAATATTTGCAAAAGTGGTTATTATGATAAAAACTTTTATCTTTCATGTCCAAGCAATTCAAGAAATCTTATTCTTTACTCCAATATTAAAGAAAATGCCAATTCTAAATTATATACAAAGACGAATACTATTATTCAAAATGATTTTTTTTCTTCTATAAAAAATTCAAAGAAATTATTGTCATCAATTATACTTTTTGATTGTAAAGATAATAAAATAAAAATGAAAAAAGGTTTAATTACAAATAAAAATACTGCATTAAAATGTCAAATTGGATACGGTTTTACTCTTGGTGGAACTTGCAAACCTTGTGAAGCTGGATATTACTCGCCTGACGGTACTTCATGTTCGAAATGTCCCACAAATTCTTATTCTTTAATTGGAAGTGGTTATTGTACCCCATGTAATTCGGTGTGCAATACATGTGATTCCAAAAATGGAAACTGTCTGAATTGTTATGAAAACATGTTTCTATTAAATGATGGTGTTTGTTTGAGTTGTCCAGCTGGTCAATATTTAAGTCAAAATGGGTGTTTAAGTTGTGCAGATCAAACGTATTCTCTTGCAAACAGTTCTATGTGTATGAATTGTTCTAAATGTGTTAAGTGTGACCAAACGAATGGGCGTTGCACTTTATGTAAGAATGGGCAGTTTATAAACGATTATAGTTGTGATGGTTGTGTAGCTGGGATGTATGGAAATGGCTTTCAATGTATTCCATGCCAAATAGGAACATATTCAAATATATCAGGAAGTGCCAGTTGTACACCATGTAGTGATGGTACTTATACAAATACAACGTCTTCAACTATATGCATAAAATGCAGCAATTATTGCACTTTATGTGAAAAAGAAAGCGGATTCTGCTTTTCGTGTGTTTCTGGTTGTATTTTATCAGAAAACCACTGCATTCCATGTAAAGCTGGAACAGCAGCAAATCAAGAAACAAACACATGCGATGTCTGTCCAGCTGGAACACATTCAATAAGTCAATCAACATACTGTACACTTTGTGAAAATGGTTTTTATTCTACAGAAGGATCATCAAATTGTTTGTCATGCAGTTTAACATGTTTAACATGTAACAAAACTAATGGAAATTGCACAACTTGCATTTCTGGGTATGGATTGGATGAGTCGTTGAATTGTAACATATGCTTACCTGGAACGTATGCACATGCAACAAACAAAAAATGCATGCAATGTGACAACAAAACGTATCAGTCAAATGAAAAACAAACATATTGCAATTCATGTGATATCAAGTGTGAAACGTGTGATAATATCAGTGGCAAGTGCCTGACTTGTTATGCTGGATATGAATTTACGGGCAATGCAAACTGTGAAATTTGTGCTGATGGGTATTATTCCAGTGGTGGGATTTTATCGTGTTTGCCATGTCCAAGTGAGTGTATAAATTGTTATAGAGAAAGTGGGATATGCACTTCATGTCAATCTGGCTTTAAACAAGTTACAACCCAAAACACGGGAAACAAAGAATGTGTTTCATGTTCATTAAACAATAATTGTGCCTCATGTGATTCAAATGAATTCGAATCTGAGAAAAAGTGTGTTGAGTGTGTAAGTGGTTATTACTTAAAAAATAACAATTGTTACAATTGTCCACTAATAACAAACTGTGTGCAGTGCTCACCAAAAAGTAATGACTGTTTGACATGTTCTGGTGAATATATTACTGTTGGTGAAAAATGTATATCTTGCGAAGAAGGCAAAGTCAAAGTCACTTCAAATAGGTGTATGAGTTGTTTTGAATTAATTCCAAATTGCCAACTGTGTGAATATAACAATGGGAATAAATTGTGTACAAAATGTTATGCGCCTTATATTATTGATAATAATACATCTTTGTGTGTTCTTGCATATTCAAACACAACACATTTTAACAAAGAAACATTAAAAAGTGATGTTAATGATGCTGGCTGTCTCCACCAAGTGAATTCTTTTTGTTTTCTGTGTAACGAAGAATATATTTTAATTGATGGAGTGTGCGTTGAAAAAGAAAATGAAAGTTGCTTTGATTTTTCAATGAAAACATGCGACAACTGTTCTGAAAACGCCATCACAACAAACGGCGATTGTTCAATTGAAAATGTATGCAAATATCAATATACTCAAAATGACAAGACTTCTTGTTTGATATACAACAACGACACACAAGAAGGCATCAAAATCAACAACTGTAGATACACACAAAACGAGTTTTGTTATTTGGCGAATGAAGGGTTTTACACTACACTTAATATCAATGGGGAAACTATAAGTTGTGATAATGCAAAGATTTGCCAAGTCATTGATGGTGATAAAGTCGATATATCATGTAAAAGTTCTTTTGTAATGACAACGAATGTTTTATGTTCACAAGATATGAAGTGTGATATGGTTAATGACAGTGTGTGCAATGCATGCAAACAAAATTATCACATTGCAAGTGGTGGATGTGTTTCCAATGACAACGAGTGTGCAATTCAAAACAAAGAGATTTGCATTTTATGTAACAACAACAAAATACCCATTTATGGAATGTGTGTTTCAACCGATTCAATCAACTGTAAAGAGTTTGTTGGTGGTGTTTGTATTCAATGTGATGACGATCGTTACAAAGACACGACTGGGTGTTTGTTAAAACAAGACAAATACAAAGACTGTGACTATGTGAGTGTTGTGTCATCATCATGTTTGGAGTGCAACAAATCATATCTTCTTGTTGACAACACATGTGTTGAAAATGATACCAACATAACAAAAACACTCGATTTACAATTAAAAAGTGAAACAACGACAGACAATTGCATGTTTAGAAGTTCAAAGGGGTGTTTGCGATGTAGTGATGGGTATTATATATTTAACTCATTTTGTGTGAAATGTGAATACCCATGCACTTATTGCTCGAATTTAACGTATTGCACAAAATGTGATGCATACTCGTACACCATGAATGGTGAGTGTTTTAAAATCAATGATATATTAAGTGTATGTGATGTAATGATGTCGACATTCGAGGGGTGTGTTATGTGCAAAGACGGGTATATGCGATCAAGTGATGGCAAACAATGTGTTAGATGTGACACGTCGTGTGCAACATGTTCCAATGATGGTGATTGTGTTGTTTGTAGTGATGGATATTACAGAACACCAAACAACAACACAAAGCTGTGCAACCCACAAACAGACTTGAACAACTGTTTGAACAAAACAACGAATGGCTGCACATTATGTGAAGATGGTTTTGCACTGAAAGACAACTTGTGTTACAAATGTAGTGAAAACTGCACATTATGTGATGCCACTTTTATATGTTCAAAATGTGATGATAACAACATTTTGAAAAATGAAATGTGTGTTCACTTCTCAAAAATTACACATTGCATTTCATCACAAAATTCTCTTTGTTGGGAATGTGCAGATGGCTACAAGTTGAGTGATGACAAAATTGAGTGTTTTGCAAATACGAATTATGGGATGATTGTTGGTCTTCTAGTTGTGTGTGTTGTTGTGTTTGTTATTATAATTATCACAACAGTAACACTAGTTGTTCTAATATTAGTGTTCAATAAGAAAGACGATAAACACACCGAAAACATTTGTGTCTTTAAGATGAGTCGCTCCAATATAGTGATGACTAAACTAGATGGCGACATTCTATCAAACAAAAATGAGATTTCATTTGGTAATGAAAGTGACAAAATACAAATTGAGACTGAGAGTCGCGAGTTGTTGTGTGTTGGCAACTCGTCTAAAGGAAACATGAAAATACAAATCACAACAAAAGACAAAATCGACAAATACGCAATTCGCACAGAACCCCAAATAGTGACTTTGAAAAGCGGATTTGCATGCGAATTTGAAGTCTTTTTGACACCATATTGCACAATGGATTTAAGTGATGAAATTGTGATCATCTCACTCAACTTAAAAACTGGCAAACAAAACACGACTACAATTCATATTAGTGGACAAGTTGAGAACTCTACACATCTTGATTACGACGAGTTAATAGAAGAGAAGAAAATAGGAGAAGGTTCATTTGGCGTTGTATTTAAAGGGAAATACAGAGGAAATATTGTTGCAATTAAAAGGATGAAACAATTTGATAATACAAATGATGGAAATGCCGTTGATGAATTTACCAAAGAAGTTGAAATGCTCGACAAATTTAGAAGTGATTATATCACACACTTCTATGGCGCAGTGTTTATACGATCAAAAGAGTGTATGATCACTGAATTTGCTTTATTTGGCTCGTTAAAAGACGTTTTAAAACACAAAACAAGTGAAGAAATAGACATAAAGTTACGAGTAAAGTATTGTCTTGATGCGTCTAAAGGTATTTTGTATTTACACGAAAATGGGATATTACACAGAGACATTAAGCCAGACAATTTACTTGTGTTTTCACTTGATATGAATGACAAGGTCAATGCAAAATTGACTGATTTTGGAAGTGCAAGAAATGTCAACATGCTGATGACTAACATGACGTTTACTAAGGGTGTTGGAACACCAAAATACATGGCGCCTGAAATTTTAAATAAGCAAAAGTACAAAAAGTCGGCAGACGTCTATTCATTTGCTATGACTATGTTTGAAATTGTAAATTGGGAAGAAGCTTTTCAAAAAAGTGACGTTAGATTTAAATATGCATGGGATATCGCAGACTTTATTAGCGCTGGGAAAAGGCTTGTTATACCAAACCAAGTACCAAATGTACTTTCAACTTTGATTACTAAATGTTGGGATCAAGACCTCCAACAACGAATTGAAATACAAGAAATATATCAAACCCTCAAAATGATATTATAATTGAATTTATTTTGGTTTTTAATAAACACAAAATCAAATAATCAATTTTAATATTTTTTTATAATCAAAAATAACTATTTAAATAGATTCATTTGTGTAATAATGTAATTAAACTAGAGTCATTCTCTAAACATTGTCCTTTCCTTAACGTTGTCTTTCAGTTTTTAGATATAAATAACTGGAATATATTGGAAAAATTATCGAAACTTTAGGAAAACATTGTTTCAGTTTTTTTTTACCGTTTTTATGATTTATTAATTCATTCCCAATTTTTTAAAAAAGTTTTGTGTATTTTTTACAAAAGGGACAACTTTTCGATAAAAAACAATGTTATAAGACTGACTCTTATTGAATTATTATACAATAGAAAGCGTATCACAGTAAAATAAATGAAAATAAAGGAAAGTATAAATAAATTATTGTAATGTTAGGCATTCAGCAATTGATTGATGACTATTAAACGTATTCAACAACAAGAGATAAATCAATATTAAAAACAAACATTACTTTGGCTCGGCTGGGCATTAACAATAGAGGTAGCTCTGAATGATTAATTAAGAGTTTTATATTTTATAGTTTTTTCTATTTTATTTAAAAAATAGTGTGTTTATTAATACTTGGTCATTTCTTTTTGAAAATAAATTAACATATCATCAAAAAACCCGATTATTTGGGGATTTTTCTTTAACAAGTAAACTTTACACCAAAAATAAAACAGCTTAATTTAGTCTGGTCCCTTGTTTTTTTAATTCGTATATAAAATGAAAATATAAACATAGTACGAAATTTTTAAAAACATGCATAATCAAATCAAAATTGAATACAATTTCAATCAGGAAGTATTCTTTGTGCTATTAAAGTCAAATATAAATATGTTACATATCTACATAACAGTGTACCACTTTCAAATTCATTATATTATATATTAATTATATTCAAAACTTTAAATTATATCAAACATGTTCATTATAATTATAACTTGGTTTACCCGAATATAAATTTAAAGAAGACATCAATTATTAAAAATTTATGCTTTTTGATTGTCAAATTCATCTCTTTTTAATTAAATTGTATTCGCATGTCGTTTTTATTCAATAGAAACACAGTTTCTTCAATAGAAGGTCTTGCTTCTGGTTTTTGGCACCAACACTTTGTGATTATATCAAACAATTCTGATGATATTTCTTTTGGTTGTTCAACCCTATTACCATCACTAACAAATTCTGCTATTTGCCATGGAAATTTAAAATGTTTATTCAAATATACATCTCCCCACTTAAAACATTGACACATTGTGACTCCAAATGAATACAAATCAGCGCATTTATTGTATTTCTCATGTTTTAAAACTTCTGGCGCCATATAAACTGGTGTACCAACACCTTTTGTAAATGTCATGTTAGTCATTAACATGTTAATATTTCTACTACTCCCAAAATCGGTCAACTTTGCATTTATTTTTTCATTTATATTGATTGAAAAAACAAGAATGTTATTTGGCTTGATGTCTCTGTGTAATATCCCGTTTTCATGTAAATACAATATCCCTTTTGCTGCATCTATCATAAATTTAATTCTTATTTTCATATCAACATCATCACTTGTTTTGTGTTTCATTAAGTTTTGTAAACTCCCGTATTGTGCAAACTCGGTGACATACACACTTTG